TATATATATATATATATATATATATATATATATATATATATATATATATATACAATTAATTAAAAATACAATAAATATGTTATTTCATATGTAATGTAAAAATACATTTATAAAATTAAATAAAATAATAAAAGTATAAAATAAATGTATAATATGTTTGTTAGTGCAATGATTATTTATTTTTGCAAAATATTTGCTAGCAGTTTATATGGGCTGAATTTAAACAAATAAATCAATTTAGTAACATTTTACTTAATTTGTTTGTTTAAATTCAGCCCAAATAAATAATTTGTAACCACTTACCTTAAAAAAATAGTAGTAAATCCAAGGAATAATTTTTTCAGTGTATATTTGCCATATTTCTCAAGACCACGTAAGTATTTCATAATATTTGAAAGCATTCCTAATATAATCCTCTCCAAAGCATTCGATCAAAAGCAAATCATTTAATAAAAGCTACTTTCACTGATACTATTACAGTTTACCAATTCTAATGCACCTGCAAAATATCATTCATCTTTCCTTTTATTAGCTGACGCTTTAAACATTATCATCGCTATATTGTTTAACTCTGAGAGTCTCATCTCTTCATTCCTCCCACAGTTAAATCATTTAAACACTCAATTCTTCTCAGCTTTCCTCTCTGTGGTCTTGAATGGTTTCTTTTCTTCTCCAGTCTTTAATAAACCGCTTGACGTCTGATTCTCAGAATTTGTCTCCGCATATATATGAAAAACACAGTGTTTCATTCATGTTGTTTCTTCTCATCTTTATTTCCATTGCTCAACATTTAACACGATTCTTCACGATTGGAGATTTGATGGATTTCAGACGTCTACAATATGCTGATTTGTCTCTCTTGAGTGAACGAAGACCTTGAATGTTGTGTTTAACAGTGTCTCTCTCATTTCTCCACAGCCGTCTCTGATTAAAGCTATATTTAATGGGGACACAGATGAAGTGCGCTCGCTCATATTCAAGAAAGAAGACGTCAATGTACAGGTAAAAGCACGCTTCAGCTCAACTACACCTTTAAAAGTGACCTATTAAGCCCCTTTGTGCAAGTCTCTGATGTCCCCAGTGTTTTCTAACTCTCTGAATCTGACCCTTTTAAGCTTGGATCCAAAGGGCCCTATCATACACCCTGCGCAAGGCGTGATGCAATAGTTGTTTGCTAGTTTCAGCTTGACGCAAGTGTTGTTTTGACGTTTTGCGTCACGCTGTTTAAATAGCAAATGCATTTGCGCTCATATGTGCGCCCATAGGCGTTCTGCTCTAAAAAAGGAGGCGTGTTGAGGCGCATTGCTGGCGCGTTGCTATTTTGAGGAACTATAATAGACTGTTCAATAAACCAGATTAAAGCTGGTCTGAAGTCCAGCGCAGAGCGCGTTAGTTGTGCGCCTCTCTTACACACTGCTTTGATCTGGTCTATTGAATAGTCTATTATAGTAATAGCAAAATAGCACACTTTCTTACACACTGCTTAATACACACAAGATGTAGAGCAATACGCAAATATCTTTACATATGACAAAAAATTAAAGGATTAAAATATTACAAAAAATATTATTTTCTAGCCTACTTTAATATAAACACCACCGCCTCCATGCCTTCTTCATTTATTCATGACAATTTGCTTTTGTATAATGTTATTAATATTAGCAGTATTATTTATTATATGCATATTTATATTTGTTTTATTAAAAACAAACTTAAATTGGTCGACCTATCAGGTTTCAGACCATATAGGGCACAGCATGTGTATTAGGATATAACTCAGTTGTTTGAACACACTTCCTTATTGTTGTTCATTTATTCGTTTGCTGGAAATTAGAACTGAATTTAGAAATAGTTTTGACTCAAATCTTTGCGCTTAATAAACTAAATTAATTATGTAGGCTAATGGATGTCTGCGTACAACACATTTCCCTATCCACGAGAGTGAAAGTGAAAGTAAAGAATGAGGAGGCTTATTCTCTCATTTTCGCGCTGCAGATGCTCTGTTTAACTGTTTTCTCTCTAGTGAAGCGTTCAGTTTTTCCACTTACAAAGTCTGCCATGTATATAGCAAATGCGCTATAGCGCAGCGCAGCTGACTCTTAAAGGGAATGGGAGATGAGACTCTGATTGGTTTATTCTCAAAACACACCAATAACTCATTAAGAGAATAAGCTCAACCTTGTTAGACCATGCGCCACAATGCAATGCGGTATTTTCCATCCTTAAAACAGCTAAAGTGGATTCCACACCCTTAATGCTTTTGCACCCTGGGCTTTACACTTTGCGTCTGGATCGTCAAAATAGAGCCCTAATTGTTTTGTTTTGGTGACTGTCACTTTAAATACAAATGAGACAGTGTTCTTTTCAGAAGGGTTCATGTTATTTAATGTCATCTGTGTGAAAAACTGGCTGTTTTTATCAAGGTGATTATAAATAACAAAGTTAATACCATTTTGTCATTAGAGGCTGGCTGTATGTACACACTGCTGCCACACAACTGTGTTTATAAAAGTGACTTTTGCATAATAGGTCCTCTTTAAAGGCACAGTTCACCCAAATCTAACTCGTATTAAAGTGCAGTAGGTGATAGTCTTCGGAAACATGTGTTGTTGTGCTGGTTGAGCGTCTCTTCACATGCCAATAGTAATGATTAAATCAAATGATCTAAATGTGTTTATTCTGAGGCATGAACTACAAAATGTTAATTAAAATTTGTCCGGCCGACGATTCCCATAATTCTGATAAGTAACCCAAACTGTCTGTCAGCAAAAGTAGATTTGTACATCAGCAACCGCTCACACAGACAGATCCGCCGCTTGCGCGTACACACGAGCCGCTTTCATGACATGTGCACATGAGAGAGAGAGTCACAGCGGTAAAAACAAATGCTGAATCAAAACCTGTGAAACTCCTGAATCAATATTGGAGTGAGTTTTGCACGCTGGAAGAAGGACGACACCATGGCTGAAGTGTTTCTGTTAGACAGGTGATGTGATGTGTTCAAACTCTTTCAGTCACGCAGAGCTGATGTAGATAGTGTTGTTGTTATGAATAGGTTATATGCACAGAAGTGTTGTTCAGCCACTGAAATCTCCAACCCAGGCTCGTACTGGAAACGTAACCTCGCGGACGTTTCTGGAGACTGCGAAATCATCCTGGGAGGTACGTATTTGTGCAGTTTTTGTTTTTGTGAATCCGCGAGAGGCTGCTGTGCACGCTTTTTTGTGTCTCGAACGCCTCTGACGAGTGCACGCACGCCGTTTGCGCCCGCACGCCGTTTGCGCCCGCGCTGTTCTTGCGTAAAAAGCCGCTGGAGGCCGCTGTCGAGCGACCAACTGACCGACTGGCTGAATGACTGAACGATTGACTGGGCAGCCGGCCGATCAGCCGACCTGGCCACCTTCCAGCTCCTCCTTCTTCCCTAAACCCAAGCGACGATTTACAAAAAGCCGTGCCTTCGTCTGATTTTGACTCCTTTTCGGATTTCACCGCATTCTCGCCCCGTTACGAACTCGTTCACTTTATTTGTTGGTTTCTGTTTTTGGTCTTACCTGATTTCTGGAACCGCTCTTCCCCGGACTCGAACCCGGTCGTCGAACGCGGCCGGCTCCTCCTCTTCCTATGGGAAAGCCCTCCACACGGAGGAGGTGAGCCATCAGCCCAACCAGCGAGCGCGAAGAGGAGCGGCGTCACACCGCCCCGTAGCTTTCGCTTGAAAAAACGAAATGCAGCCATACGTACCTATGGCCACGTAAATCACGGTCTCCAGAGACGTCCGCGAGACTTCGTTTTCAGAATGAGCTTGGGTTGGAAATCTCCCGGTGAAAGATTAATGTGACTATTTTCAGTTTCATAAGGGAGTTTTACAACATTGATAATGTAGATTTATATTTAGTTTAACAATAAAACATCAGTAGATGGCGCTATTCAGCCTAGCCTGCTTGGCTAATGAAGTGAAATTGGTTTTATATTCACACCACAGAAACTCTCTTCCACTTTTGATTGCTTCTGCTTGGATATTAGGAGCAGCTCATTGATCTCTCAGTGATGGATGATCTGGGAAACAGCTCTGAAATGGACTCTTTCTTCTACATTACTCCTCTTGGTTTGGATAATGGAGCTTCATCTGAGAGGTTAACACGCTGCCATGGTGGTTTGTTTTACGGCTCCCTGTTTAACGAGGAGTCTGTTTTCATCAGCAATCTGGAGCGACGCCCATTTAAATGCCAGCCAATTGTTGATGGCCTGCTTGGTCACGTGAGGCAGTGTGGTTTGGCCTCCTGGTTTCCATTCTCATTCCAGAGCAGATGGGAAGCAGAAGCCTGCAGGGTGGCACGACTGCAGAGGATGAATGAATGATGGCCGCGCTTTCCTGATTGACTTTATTGATGAGAACGTAGATCGAGCTGGTTTCTGTTCTCCAGCATTCAGAGAAACACTTAAAGGATAAACTCAGGAGATATCAGAAACTTGATGTAAAAAATACTGAATTATTAGCCCGCCTGTATATGTTTGTCCCTGACTTCTGTTTAACGGAGAGAGGATTATGTTTAGACACATTTCTAAACATATTCCTTTTAATAACTGATTTAGTTTATCTTCGCCATGATGACAGCACAAATTATTTGACTAGATATTTTACTAGTGTTCAGCTTAAAGTGACATTTTAAAGCTTAACTAGGTAAATTAGGGTAAAGATAGTGTAATTAGGCAAGTCATTGTATAACAGTGGTTTGTTCTGGAGACAATCCATAACTAATATTGCTAAAGGGGGCTAATAAAATTGACCCTAAAAATGGGTTTTAAAAAAATTAAAACTGCTTTTATTCTTGCCAAAATAAAACAAATAAGACTTTCTCCAGAAGAAAAAATATTATCAGACATACTGTAAAAATTTCCTGAATCTGGTAAACATCGTTTGGGAAATATTTCGAAAAGAAATAACAGGAGGGCGAATAATCTTGACTTCAGCTGAATGTCTCATGTTTCTGCCTCAGGAGATCTGTGGCCACATTGATCGGTATGGATCTCACACACACACACACACACACGCACACACACACACACAGGCATACAAATGCATCAGTGTGTGCCATGCGCAAGAATCCAGTGTGTGTATCAAATATCACACACCCAGCTCGAACCGCACATGCATCACACACAGAGCTGTCAAACGGAGGGCAAAACACATGCAAATCAGAGGTGAACTGCAAAAGTAGCTTTCTCTCCAGCCGATATGCGTTTCGTTGTGTGTTTGTGAGCTGCAGTCATTCAGAAGTATGCGATGAACATTTTTTACTGCTCTGAATCCTGCTCTTAATGTTTTAAGATTTGTTTTATATAAAGTGAAGTCACTTTAACAATTATTCAGGCAGGTTTCTCTAGGAAATTTGTTAATTCATTAATTTTTTCTTCGACTTAATCCCTTATTTATCATGGGACGCCACAGCGGAATGAACCGCCAACTATTCCATCATATTTTTTATGCCCTTCCAGCCTCAAACTGAGAAATTGCTCGGAAACGTTTTATAATATTTATCATATTTTAATGAAATAGGATTGATGTAAATGACTTGTGTTTGTTTGAATGTTTTTTATTGTATTTAATCATGTTGTTTAATCATTAATCATTTAATCAAATATATGATGTGATACTAGAGAATCAGATTGGTTGATGCATTTCGCCTGCATTATTTTTCATAGAGGATTTTAGAGGAAGTTATTAATATGTTTATTCAGCAGGAATGCACGGATGTTATGGAAAGTGACAGGGAATGTATTTTTTTAAGATTTCATATTGAGCAGCAAAACAGTTTTCGAACTAGTTTAAAAATGAAGCATGTTTTCCAGGAATTATTTATATCTAAAAAATATTCCATTGAAAAAGAGCAATCTTAAATGCAAATAACATTACAGTTTTACTGTATTTTTAAAAGGAAAAAAATATCTAAAAATAAATGAAATACATATACGGTTGAGGTCAGAATTATTAGCTCCCTTTGTTTTCTTTTTTTAAATATTTCCCATATGATGTTTAACAGGGCAAGAACATTTTCACATTATGTCTGATAATATTTGTGCTTTTGGACAAAGTCTTATTTGTTTTATTTCAGCTAGAATAAAAGCAGTTTTTAATTTTTTAAACACCATTTTAAGGTCAAAATTATTAGCCCTATTTAAGCTATATTGTTTTCTGATCGTCTACAGAACAAACCATCCTAATAATTCAGAGGGGCTAATAATTCTGACTTCAATTGTAAATATATTGCATCTATGTACATTAATTATGTCTTGGATGTTTGTAAGGAAAATGTAGCATGTAGCATGCTGTTATGTAAGAAAAAGTTCAGTTTTAAGTCTGTTGTATGTTATATATTTATATGTACAGTTGAATTCTGCAGTTGAAGAATTATTAGCCCCCTGCTTATTTTTTTATCCCAATTTCTGTTTAATGGAGTGCAGATTTTTTCAACACATTTCTACTCGTAATAGTTTTAATAACTCATCTCTAATAACTGATTTATTTTATCTTTGCCATGATGACAGTAAATAATATTAGACTAGATATTCTTCAAGACACTTCTATACAGCTTAAAGTGACATTTAAAGGCTTAACTAGGTTAATTAGGGTAACTAGGCAGGTTAGGGTAATTAGGCAAGTTATTGTATAATGATGGTTTGTTCTGTAGACTATCAAAGAATAGCTTAAAGGGGCTAATAATATTGATCTTAAAATGATGTTTAAAAATTAAAAACTGCTTTTATTCTAGCCGAAATAAAACAAATAATACTTTCTCCAGAAGAAAAAATATTATCAGACATACTGTCAATTTCCTTGCTCTGTTAAACATCATTTAAGAAATATTTTAAAAAGAAAAATCAAAGGGAGCTTAACAATTCTTACTTCAACTGTGTATATATATATATATATATATATATATATATATATATATATATATATATATATATATATATATATATATATATATATATATATATATATATATATATATATATATAAGCAATATCACACAAGTAGCAGTGATATATCAGCTTTGGTGGGAGGCTTGCGTTAGTGTCCCACCAGTGCTGATATACAGCCATATCACACTGCTACAAGTAAGATATTAAGTTTATACAACAGTTCAACCGCATAATCGGGTCTATAAAAAAGAAAATCAAACACAGAGAGTCTAAAAACCCTTTTGTGCTAGAAACTCTTTTCTTCTGCCATTCATTCACATCTGCAACT